TTTTTTGTTCATCTACAAGACTTGTATGTGAGTAGGTCACAGGAGAAAAAGTTCTATAAGGTTTTGATTTAAATCGCTATCCGCTCCGCTCGGCACTATACTCTAACTTATCAATGTTGGGTTGTCCCACAGGCAAAGAAAAGGTATAACATACATTAGGCCTCCATCACGCATTATCTACATATTATACATACAAAAAGTTTATGAACAAAGGTGTAAGGTCCATGTTTTGTCCCTATCATAATGTTCACATTTGAAAGAGATAGAATAAACGAGGGTTATCTTGGGCTAATTTAAATGAATCTTTTATCTTTTTAATGAGCTACGTACAAACATACACACATACACAGACTGTATAATGTCCGTCATTTGTAATGGGCAGGAGATGAACAGATAGCAGTCAGGATACAAAAGTTAATGAGTTGTAATCCTTTGTTTTCCGACTGGCATTTGTTATATTCGACTATGGAACTTCTACTTCCTCATTGGTAGTCGCCAATAGCACGGTCCTGTATTACATTTTACTATGGTTATGTAAAGTAAACATTCATTCAATTTCGTCGATTAAAATATTGCTATGTTAAGTAAGAGTAACAAGAAACACATTTTTCGTATCGTGAATTCGTATTTCGTAGTTGCCTTCAAAAGGGTAATAATATTTCGTTCAGTACCTTAAGGGACTAAAAATGTGAATTCGCTACAAAAACTGTACCGGAATCGGGTTCAGGGGAGAATATTTTTAACGACTGCTATAACCAATATAATTATAATTATAATAAATAGAAATAGAATATCTGTTATTTTTCTTTATCGAATATTTATATAAATTTACCTGAGCTAACATCAGTCGTCTTCAGTTCAAAATAAATTGGTGGAACATTTTTGGATTGCCCAGCAAACCTTTATCTAATCTATTTTTTATCTAGGACCAGTATCCCGCTGGACCTTTTTATTCATGAAAATATGAGTTGAGGCTCTATAGGGTACCTCGCGACCTTTGGGACCCTTCACAACTAGTTACACACTTCCAATAAGTTTCCACTTCACTTCGATTTTGTTATAACTCTTCTTCAATTTGTTTGAAGAATATTTTCTTTTATATATCATTTAATAGGTTTTATACATATATGTACATACGGTTGAGAAGTCATGTTTCTTTCTGTCTCGGGGTTAAGCATGCATGAAGGTCTTAGTTCTAAACCGGACAAGTACCAATGTGACATTTTTGAGTCGCTTGTACCTTCTAACTATTTTAGACACTACTTACAAACGGTGAAGGAATACATCTATACATCTTAGATTTCTCATTACTAATTATAAGTTTAAAATGGCTAATGCGCCTTGAGCATGCGTGGTGATCAATGCCCAAACCTTGTCAGTGTGAAAAGAGGCATTTAATCAGCAGTGGGCACTTATAGGCGAATGCACCATTAGCAGCCGTGGTGAATAATTTTCAAACCTTTTCCGTGTGAGAAGATAGCTCCTTAATCAGCAGTCGGCACTTATAGACTGATGATGATGATGACTTAAAAACGGTGAAGAAAAACATCGTGAGAAAACCTGGTCATAAGATCTAAGAATTTCTAATTGTAAGTTTAAATTGGCCAATGCGCCTTGAGCAAGCGTGGTGATTCATTCTCAAACCTTTTTCGTGTGAAAAGATAGGTCCTTTATCAGCAGTGGGTACTTTTAGGTAGATGATGATGATGATAATCTTATATATAAAAATGGATCGCAAAATGTGTTGGTAAGCGCATAACTCAACAACGCCTGGACCAATTTTGCTAATTCTTTTTTTGTTGTGTTTTTTATTGTCAGGAGAAGGTTCTCATCAAAGAAAATATTAGAAAAGTAGAGTGGAAGATTAGGAAAAAGTGAGCCTTTGATAGCGAGATAGTTGGACCCGTGCGAAGCGGTGGCGGGCCGCTAGTGATAAATAAATATGTTGTTGAATATTTTTATCTGGTATATACTGAAGGATCTTATTAAAACATTAATAAATAATAATCCATTTTAATACCGAAACCCAAACCTATATAATTTACGACTTCATCCATCACTATACCTTCCGCTATACAGGCACCCCTTGCACAGTTTACAGTTAAATCACACTAGAAGGTGTACTTAAACAGCATGTACCATGACCCCCTCCCCAGTGACGCCCCCTTTATCATAAATATGGCGATAATAGCAACAACACGAGCCGTTCCGTCCCAATTAACTTTACGAGTTTGTTTACTGGCCGCCATTACTGTAATGTCCTCGTCGTCGATACTCTGCTAACGACTGTATTTGCTTAGCTAAGTGACCGCGGCTGTTTACATCTTGAAGTCTGCTTGGATTCACACTGTACCGTAGATCATAGTGATTGAGCAGCATATTGACGTCTTTCTGTAACAAACCATAGTAGTCTACAATTTTTATTCACTAAAAATACTCATGAAAACTCTCCCAATATAAATTTACGTCACTGCAATCATATAATTCTAATATCACAATGTTGACAAATTTGTGTCCACAAACTCCAAGCTCTGTACACGATCTCACTGTAAACATGAAATGTAAATGTAGAAGCAAGCAGTCCGGCTGACGATGACGTCACGCGAGACTAGCGTCTAGGTCTAGACTCAGCTCCAGCTAGAACACCAATTCAATTATAAGTGGAAGCCGTACAGTTTGAATCGCGACCGTGTTATATAATTATACTGTAAATTTTCATATAGCCGTCTACATTAATGTATGTGTATGTACACGTGTGAGTATATCTTGTATAACAATAACAAATGAGTGATCAAATTATGTAAGACTATTTCCTTACGCTCAATATATAATGTTATGTTCTTTGAACTCTATACTATCATTTGTTGAAGTGAACACAAGCGAGTTTTTTCAATAAAATTATGAAAAGTCATAAGATCAATACGTATTGATAGAAAGCCAATGACCGCAAAATTATTCATAACGTTAACAAACGCAACACAAACAACAAATTCATTATTATTTAAATCTTGAAATAACCTATTAATATTCACAAAACGTAAAGTTCAACGGATATTTAATTAAAAAAACGCTGAAGAAAAACCGCTTGCAAGACGCCGCCAAGAGCCGCGCTCCGGGAGCCGGGCGACGCGTTCCACTCAAAAATTATTGAATTTGAATTGTTGAATCGAACTCATTATTCTGTCAGAGACACGAAGCGATCAATTAAAGGTTCTATAGCACCATGTACGACCGCCTTTTTCTTAATAGGAATCATTTATTGGGGAGGCAAGAGCAAATTGAATTGTTGAGACGCCTCGCCATCGGAATTCGTTTATGTTCGATATTGAATGCGGACCGACATTGTTCGCTGCGGCCCGATATGGAAATGAGTGGAACTCTTTTGGCGGTTGGAATGCTTAGTGTGCGTGTATGGCTTGTAAGATGAACTTCCCCATATCTGAAGAGAAACTACTTGAACTCAAGAACCTCTTTGCAACGCAATCCTTTCTCACACCACTGATTTCAGATGTCTTTCGTAAGCTACTTACGATTTAACATTATCAAAAACTAGTAACAATTTTTATCATTTCTTGTTCTGTAGGTACATATATTTTATCTCCAAGTCTAAATGCAATGTGTAGACTATAGAAATATAAATGTCTCCAGTCCAAATACGTACACTTTTATATTCATCTTGAGACCGGCCGACAGTTGTAAGCTCTCAAGAATATCTTGTAAGGAGCTTAAGAAAAAAACCCATTTGATGTTACTCTTTATATTCGTGGACGTAAAGATATAATTCAAACGTTTTATAGCTGGTATAGACATTTAGTTCAGTGTTTCACATTTATATTATTTTTGTATGTCTGTTGGTATTGGTTGCCAGATTTCGTTGGCAACTCAATATTTCTATTAAACTTTGAACATGCAAATCATAAAAACCAATAAACACTCAACACGTCCCCGTCACTATATTCTAAACACGAGAACAGACAATACAAAAAAAATCTGCCGCCATTTTTTTAACAGAATAGAAAATTGTATGCGAAGCGCTCGCGCCAACGCGTGCGTTCGACGTGAGAATTGTTCAGATTGACGTGAAATGGATTTTTGAATAGCAGCCATGTTAGATCGACCACTCGACCGGATGAAACCGGTTTGAGGCGGTTGAGACCGACCATAAGCTGATCAAGCTGTTCGGGATAGCGCAAATGTGTTTTCTAATCTCAGAAGGAAATTGTACTACGTCGTTCTTAATTTTGTATAAAGATTTCATTTTGAAAGGTAGCATGGAACTAGTAATTTACCGTGTCTGAAACTTAATGATGCCGTGTAAAAAGGCGCTCAATATCTTCAACATTTATTTAACTTCACATCGACGTACTACATGTCATTAAGTTCTCCCTTTATTCCCTCCACTATGTTATTACAAGATATATATATTTCTAGCTATTTCTTTGTCTTCCACATGTAGAATAATCTAGTCAGAACTTTCTTATTTGACTTCTATCATAAAACATTCTGTCATTCCAACCGTTTCATTTGAAGATTACTGAACAAGGTTCTGTGAGATGAACAAAAGATCTGAAAGTGAACTCGAGCACTTAATCAGGCTGGCAGGATGTAGTTACAAAGGTTTCACTAATTTAAACATAAACTTTCCTACCTACTTGTATACTTACCTAGCTACTTATGTACCTGCCTACACGCTCTCTGATTCAACTTAACCGAGGAGTTATGTGTGTGATGGAGTCAAATTAAACCGTTCAGCTTGAAATATTGTCAAGTCTGAAAGAAATTTTTGATATCCTTTAAAACTAAAATGATCCTAAATAAGTCCAGGTTTACGCATATTAAGATATCATAGAAGAAGTTTTTGGATATTTGATGACCATTTCATTTGTATTTTAGTTTTTTTACAGTCTTTCTCAATAAGACCCAAGCCAATAATATACATACACATTGTACTGTCGTCGTTAATAAACAAATGTCTCAAACAAATCCTGTTCTTGTTGCAGGGGCAGTTGGTGGTGATGGTGATGACAGCGACGACAAGGAAAAGGAAGAAGAAGCAGAACGCGAACGGCAAGAAGCCATCCGCGAGGCTGAGGAGAGGCGCAAGGAGAAGCACCGCAAGATGGAGGAGGAGCGCGAGAAGATGCGTCAGGAGATCAGGGATAAGGTAAGCTAACACATGAAGATACTAGCTTCCGTTCGCGGCTTCGTCCACGTTTGTATGTTGATAAAAAATAGCCTATGTCCTATTCCGGAGTGTACCCCATGCTAAATTTCATGCAGATCCGTCAAGCCGTTTTGGCTTGATTGAGTAACAAACATCCAAACATCGTTACTTTCGCATTTATAATATTAGTAAGATATATGAATCGAATTTCTGTCAGCTGTCCAAAAACTGTTCGTTGGAAAAAAAACGGGAGTTCAGGTATCTGGTGTGGCGGACATGACATCCGGCTGTCCATCTCCCGCACAATACGTCACTGCGCCGTCGCACAAACGACTCGACAATTAATTCAGATGCGCGGAAGTATGTCAAGCGCCCTCCACGGCCCTTCCACACATGTCAGATAATTTGTTCGACGCGTCGAGAGCGCTCCGCCAGCTCTAGTGTGGGATCACCTTTATATTTCTTTTTTTCGGTAATTGACTGGCAAAATTGAGTGCTTTATTTATGGTAATTGGTTTCAATATTTATATAACTCGCCCGTGTTTTATTAAGATGATAAATCAAGGAAAACTGGCTTTTATTCATTAATAAAAGTGCGACAAACATAAAATATTCAAGCTACGTAACTAAGACAGATCGCTTGTAAAACAAAGTTATCAAGAACCCCAGTTAATTCTGTAAGCTCTAAACCACCTCGAAGTGTGTCAAGGATAATTTTACAATGAAAATATCATCTGCGAAACTCTCAGAAACGTAAAAAGCCGGCAAGTTATCCGGGCTAATTAAAAAATCTCTTTAAGACCGCCTTTATAACATTTAAATTGACCTAAAACCACGTAAAAAGTGACATAAATCGCGGACGGAATAGAATCGCGTCTTCATTTACAAAACAAAAGATCCGCGGGCCGGGTTTCACTTATTTTTTAATTAAAAAATCCTAATAATCCCCACAGGCTACGGTATGCGGACCACGACATTTTTATGGGGTTCCGCGGTGCTCCAGTGTGAGGACTGTAATTGAAGATTCCGTTCGCCGCTTTATTAAGGCATTGGGGTAAATAATAGGGGTGATATCGGACGGAATTTAATATAGAATATTATGAATAGTTTGCATTCCTTCGACGCTGGTGTGAAATACGCGGCACTGCGCACTCCAGCCCTCCGTGTTAGTTTTGTATATTTCAAATATTTCACTGAGAAGTAATAAAACAAATACTGCAAAAAACAAACCAATAAAATTTGAGTTGAGTTGTTCATAATACTTGGAATAACATAAAACGTATTTACGTTCCTCATTTTATGACAATAATAATTTTATATTCACTGAAGTAAAATGTTATTGAGATAAGGGATCTTTATATAGGTACCTAAATTCAAATTAAATTCCATTAAAATTATGCAGATACATTTTATCATACGGAACTCCTAATTTAATGATGTCGGACTTGGCCGTTTTTTATTTGGACCGTATTACTTTTCATCCGACCGGAAGAAGAGAGATAAAAATGTGAAAAATGAAAATGTGGCTTGGACATTAAACTAATTATATCCATTTATTTAGAGCCTCGCGTTAGCTTAGCTTTAAAAAGAAATATTTTGATACTTAATAACGAGGATTATACAATTAAGATACATTAATTATCCAAAAACACCTATTACATTCGTTAATCCTGTAATTTTTTTTCTACAATACAAGCATACAATAAATTTTAGACATCTAACCAGAATATGAGTATGGAGGGTGTATGAAAAGCATTATTAATACGAAACAATATAATCTAGACGCCAGTGTTTGCGCACGAGATTAAAGGGGGGCGATTGGTCGGCGCGTGGCGTTATGCAAACACCTTGTATAGCTGGCGACGATTTACAAACAACATCATGTATATAACGGGATTAAGTTGAGAAGGTTCCGTTATGTTCCTTTTTGAAGGAAATTCAATTTCCGCGGTAAAAAGAAACGCTTAAAATTCATCTGGTATCGAGCACACGAGAGGTACACGCGATAAAAAAATGTTCAGCGCTTACGTAAATACGTCTCGCCATATATTTATTTATGTTCAATATTTCTGAGTAACCTTTCTACTTACTTGCTTCAGCTGACTACAGAGGCTTAACAGCTCCATTCTGCACAATGTGATCATAAAATATTTTCACTTCCTGAAACTTTTCCATTAATAATTTAACAAATTTTATGCCCAAAATAAATAAATAAGCACAAACACGTGGAGTGCTTACTGAAAACTATTTTCAGGAGCTTTTAACGTTTCAAAGCTTTTGAATAAATCCTTAGCTTTAGCTACTTTGTGTTTAAAGTTAGCGGCTGAAATATTTCATGATGTGCTGCTATGAAATGTTATAAAACTGAATTTCAGATTCTTGCGGAAGAACCTCTCTGCAAGTACCACTTTAGTATTTATTTATGTTTCATATCAACGATGCATTAAATATATTCATTTTATATGGAATTTACAATGTTTCAAAATAATGCAGGACCATTTTACTTATTAGTATCATTGGACATTTCAGCCAACCACTCAACTTATGTACTTTGATATACTTAGAATTAATATTAAGAGATAACTGTGCACTTAATGTTTATTTCATCTACAGATAAGATAAAACATGAACGCTCCAAGAACACAGACACATACAAACAGACATGACAAATTGCAATTGCACAGAAACATAGATTGAATTGTACAAATGCAATGGCAAACTGTGCCGGTGGCGCCACCTACCGCCGTCCATTTGCATAATTGCTGCACCTTGCTAGCCTGCTAGGCTCACGCAAATATTAGACATGCATACATGTATACACATCGCGTGTAGATATGCTAATATTTAGAATTCTGTACCGTCAGACCACTACTGGTATAGACCATTCCTCCTTGTTTCAATACAGAAGTATGTAGATAGGCTTTTTCAAAATCCATTATAAACTAGTGAATTGAAATTATGTTAGGCGCAAACCCTACAGAAGGATTATTAATTAAAAAGCGGACTCTTTTATCCTTTTTTGTACACACAGCAACCTCCCAAAACGTAGATGACGGTCTTGTCAAAAAAATGAAAAGTGGACTACTAATCGTTCGCGCTTGTTATAAAGAACCTCTACAGCATTTCATATTCCAAATGCATCATAAACATAGCACAGCGACCACCTAACTCCACTTAACCTCCATACATGCACTACTCGCCACATTTTTCCATAAAAATAAGTACCACTAACTCCATCCCTCCCTCCCCTAACTTGCCTGTAACCGGCGTAAAGACGGAGTGCCACTTTCCGCGTAATTTGCCGCGCCAGCCATTGTGCAGCTCTCGCGTCAAATTACGGGCAATTTACGCGCGCAAAAAGCCCAGAAACCACCGCAAGGAAAGTGACTTAAATTAGAAAGAACTAGATTGGAGATTGGAAAGCGAATCATTGGCTCCTAGATCTTCGAGTCGCAGCGTTTGTGAACCCCTGACTTAGGGTATTTCGCCGTCAACAGGAGATGTGGAATATTTTGTTGAAAATAGAAACCTTAGTTAAACTTGACATTATTTGACACTGCTTGTTGACTGCTAGACCTCGTTTTTTTATTCAATTTCATTTAAATGTCAGCTACAAGACAATATGGTGATAAATTATGCATTATTTTTGCCATAACTGACCGATTGACTGAACTGACTGGTCATTTCAAGTTTCGATTTAAAAAAATAAAAATTTATTACTGGAGAACAGCATCATCAACAAGGTCATTTGAGTCCCCTTACCGTAGCAGCTACTACTGATTTCTTATCACGACAAACCGGTACCACTCACAAATATCTACACAGGCCATAATAATTGGCGACACTTTAAAACTGTAACACTTACATTACTCGCCGGGTTGGACTATTAGGCGAGCCATTATGGCACCGCCCGCTCCACCGAAGTGTTCCAACGCTTTCCATCGCTAATAAAATTTGTACCCTAAATGGCTCCGTCAAAGGACCCTCCGTAATTTCAAGTTGGATGCTTGAGGGATAGGCTACAGTACTGAGAGGCAGCGATTTCTCAGTTGTATCTTGAATCGCTTGCTCTTATGATGTGATGTTATATTTTTCTACTTGTAAGTTTATTTGTAAGTAAATTGAGGTTTGTTATGTTGTAACTATAACAGCCCACTGGTCCCGAAGTTAAGAATAAAATCTTTGAATGCCTCAAGCAAACAGACCACTGACTGTTAGAATTATAACATTGAAAATATTCATAAAAATAGGACGAGAAATGTCATTAATTAAATTACTTTACTATCTGGTGATCCTAAAGATTCATCTCCACAAGACTATTAATGAAAACAAGATTTCTTATTTCAGTTACGGTTGAATATGAGACCAAATCGTTGAAATTTAATGTTCAAATAGTATGTAAGGGGATACATTTCCCCAAAACATTGCTACACCGGGACCTAGGCTGCGTCCAAACATATCGTGTTGATACCCTTTGAATATCGCATCGCTGTGGAAAAACTGGTGTTGTTTTCTTTCTATAACACATCTATTTTATCTCTCTAAGGTCTAATTTTTGTTTCTTCTACTAAATGGAAAAGGTTTCATTATTAATTATAAGCTTATGGTTGTCCCATAATTGAGAAAAAGGATTCTCTTCTATTCTCAAATGGAGAAGGAATAACCACTAATCACCATGCCTGCTCAAGGAGGATTGTCAATTCCAAACTTAACCAGAAATTTTAATGCGATGTTTTTGCCACTATACATATTTACCTTCATCGTATGTCAATAGTGTTTACATAATAATACAGTACTTATAACTTGGAAAAGGTTCCATTGGTTCTTACCAAGTCTCCAAACACCGTCATCCATGAAAAGTGCAGCAACTTTACCTCCTGGTCGTTACGACTAAAAATGCTTTAGATAACAATTATATTATCATAGCTAGCATCTAGATATGTCCTGAAACTGACTAGGCCACTATATAAAATACGAATAAACCACGTGATTTTCGTTCG